ACCAATGCCCTCAGTGCTTAATCCAACGACAAAGTTGAAGAAACGAATTACTGCTCTATTCATATTTAAGTCAATATATGTAACTATGAAAACATGACTTCCTACCTATAATTTGTATAGACACCGTTTTTTAAATAAAATCGCAATAAAAAACCATTATTATTGTTATTATTATTCTTATTAATTATGCATTCATTTTAAAATAGTATTTAGTTTCAATACGCTGTGCACGCGAAATTTTAATGTGCCAACTGCACTGTGTGTGATAAGCTGCAGGAAAAGGCCGACTCGGCGGCCCCTCCTCCACTCGAGGTTAGACAAACACACACATAAATACGATTGACAATACGCTCCATTCAGGGTCGCTGCGATAGTCGCATATGTCGAGGTGCCAAGTTAGCACGAGATCGGACGACGTTCGATTCCCGCATAAAGACGAGGGAAAAAACTTTTTTTCATAAATTTAAAAATAGAGCGCGGAGCGATACAGCAGTGGCGCCATCTTACATCCTGCGCGCCCACCACACACACCTCTCAACTACAACAATAAGCGAGAGTGAAACGACAAACAGGGATCCAAAAACTCCACGTGTTAGACAAGGAGAGCGATACCGTTTCAGTAGACCGGAAGTTCATAACATTTACACGGAGCAAGTGTGACGTCAGCCCCATTTATTAACTATTATTATAGACAGGTTAATAAAAAAATCGAACATGATAGATTTTCGTTGCCATCCATTGAAGAAATATTAGATGTTTTGTCGGGTGCCATTTCACTCATCTAGATTTGTATCAAGGATACTATCAAGTTGAGTTGGATCCAGATTCGAGGCCGTGTGTTGCCTTTACAACAGATCGACGGTAATATCAAATGACTAGATTGCCAATGGGATTGAAAATTAGTCGAAATTCGTTTTCACGTGCCATGACGATTGATACGTCAGCATTGAATTACCAAAACTGCTTTATTTATCTTGATGATCTTATTGTTTTCGGAAATAATCTGCAAAATCATAACAAAAATTTAATCAAAGTTGTAGATCGTTTCAGGAAAGTAAATTTAAAGCTAAATCCAGCAAAGTGCGATTTTTGAAAAAAGAAACTTTGTATTTGGGTCATTTAATTTCGGCTGATGGAGTCTCTTCAGATCCTGAGAAGGTATGTGTTATACGGGCGTATCCCGTACCTACCTAAGGATTCCAGTGAGATGAAGCGATTTGTAGCGTTTGCAAATTATGATCGTAAATTCATCAAAAATTTTGCAGAAATCGCAAAGCCACTAAATAAGAGTTAAATTCAAATGGTCTGAAGAATGCCAACAGGCTTTCGAAATACTCAAAACAGTTCTGATTAATCCACCTATTTTAGCTATTCCAGATTTTACTAAAAATAATAAATTCAAATTATAGATAGACACGTCAAAATTTGCTGTAAGTGCAGTTTTGTGCAACGGTAGACCAGTCGCATTTGCTAGCAGAGTGTTGAATAATGCCGAGTAGAGATATTGTACAATAGAGAAAAAGTTATTAGCTATTGTCTGGGCTGTTACTCGTTTTAGGCCATATTTATTCGGTAGACATTTCCAAATTTTCACAGATCATCGGCCTTTGGTCTATTTATTTGGCATGAATAACCCTTCAAGTCGATTAACAAAATTCAGATTAAAATTAGAGGAATACGATTTTATCGTAACACACGTGAAAGGAAAAGACAATGTTATGACGGACGCATTATCTCGTGTAGAAATAAATTCGAAAGATTTGGTCAGTTTATCAAACGATATAAATCAAACAATTTTTGTAACCACCCGAGCTTAAACCAAAGCGCTGCAAAACGAACAGAATTGGTCTGAAAGGTTGCCAAGTGCTAGGCCTGATCACCCTGGTATGGTAGAACTTTTGAAGATGCCTGAGCGTTATATAGAGCTTAAGTTTGTTGATGAAATAACGTTTAACAAAATCTACAAAAAGTATCGCCATACGAGTACAAATACAGATACAAGTACAAAAACAGATGCCAGCACAAGGCACAGTTACAAATTGAGGAAATGGGGTAATTTTAAATCCAAATGCCGGCAAATTTTTTTTTCGAATAGAATTGTAAATCGTTGGAATGAACTACCAGAGGAAATCGTTTCTGCTCCTAGTATCTATCGTTTCAAAAACCTCTTCGATGAATTCTTGCACTGTTAACACACTGTTAAAAAATCAGTATTATAGAACTTGAATCCCTCTCATTATCCTATTCTATAATAATAATATTAATAATAAAATAACATTAATAATAAAAATACAAACGCAAGTTCAAGGTTAAATAAAAATGATAAAAAAAGCAACTATCGGGATCCTCGGTCGACAACGTACTTACGTAACACGTTGAGAGAACTGATTAAGACTTGCAAATTAAATAAAATACCGCAATTGTCAATTATTAAAGGTAATATTGAAAAACAGTTGTTTGATTATATAGTAGGAAAGTTATACGTTTTTCGTGAAGGTGGAATCAAAATTAATGTTATCAGAAACCAGATAAACGTGACAAATAAAGAAACTAGAATATTAATTTTTACGGTCTAGGACCTATTAGCATAACCTAATTTTTATAGTCACCAACGCGTGGAGGGGCAACGCAATACCAATGCAATAGCTACGGCAAAATTGGACATCTACAAAGCGTGTGCAGAGAGGTAAGCCACATTAATTCATTGCAAAACGCTGAGAAAGAAGCCAAAATTATAGTAAAAAATAACGAAAATTTTAGCAATTACGACGAGAGTAACGATAACAACGGAAATAACGTAATTAATGTAATTTACAATGTAAGTTGCAATGTAAAACCAATAGAATTTAATGTAATAGTTAATGGCAAGAATATTCTAATGCAGCTAGACTCAGAATCGGCTATATCTGCAATCACCAAACAATTTTATTTAAGTAAATTTCACGATCTCAATATTGTACCAACCACAATGGCATTTAAGGGTTATACTGGCGAGATCATAGTTCCATTAGGATATATAAATGCATTTATTGAATATAAAACCATTGGTAGAGAATTGAAACTATTTGTAATAGAAAAGGCAACAGCAGCTCTTTTAGGCAGAGATTTTATTCAAAATTTAAAATTATGTTTAATCCAGCAGGTATGAACGCGGTTGACTCAATGGATGCGAAGGCAACATTACAGGCAGAATTTCCAGAGGTTTGCAGTGAGACCTTGGGATGCTACCAACATGGGAAAATTTCGTTAAAGTTGAAACCTAATGTTATTCCTACACATCATCCACCCAAACCCCATAACTTTAGCCTTAAAAGCAAAAGTCGAATATGAACTCGAAAGGATGCAACAACGGGGAATCATCACGCCCACAATAACAACGGATTGGAGTTCATATATAGTTCCAGTAATGAGAAAAAACGGAACGATACGTATCTGTGGAAGCTATGTAAGTCTGAACAAGAACTTACTTGACGTCTTTTATCCATTACCACGCATTGAACAAATTTATGCTAGCTTGAATGGTAACTATCTCTTTTCAAAAATCGATCTCAGTGATGCATATATGCAATTTGAATTGGATGATGAATCAAAGAAATTAGTAACTATTTCAACGCACAAAGGTTTATTCAGTCAATAGAATGCCATTCGGAATTAAGTGCGCTAGTTTCTACTTTCAGAAGCACATAGACCAATTATTTCAGGGTATAGATAATGTATTTACCTTTCAAGACGTCATTTTAGTTGGACACAAACGTGGAGAAGACCATCTAAATACCCTAAGAAACGTAATGTCCATATTGAAAAAGGCAGGCCTTACCGTCAATCACCAGAAGTGCCAGTTTCTATAGAGTAAAGTATCATATTTGGGGTATGATTTATCTGAAGATGGACTTAGTAAAAGTAAAGACAAGGTGAAGGCGATAGTGGCAGCTCCGAGACCCACCACAGTCACCGAATTGAAGTCGTTCATTAGTATGGTAAACTATTACAGCAAGTTTGTGAATAATCTAGCGGACAAATTGTCACCGCTGTACAATTTACTCAAGAAAGGAGTAAAGTTTGTGTGGAATCAAGAATGCGAAAGCACGTTCGAACAGATCAAACTGATTATTGCGTCAGAAGTAGTTTTGACCTACTTTAATCCTGACCTTCCGATAATTGTGACATGCGACGCATCAGAGAGGGGCATAGCTGGAGTTCTTTCCCACAAAATGCCTGACAATACAGAAAGAACAGTTTGTTGTATCTCGAGAACCTACAGCAAATCTGAACAAAATTACTCGACCGTGCATAAGGAAAGCTTAGCATGTTATTTTGCTGTATCGAAGTTTCAAGAATACCTATTTGGGCATAAATTCGTGTTAAGAAGTTGTGGCATTGCGCCGCAGGCTACTCGAAGGACCGTTTAACCGTGCCGTACACGGTACGAACACGGAAAGAAAAGAGTGTTGTTTTATAACTATATATTAATAGTATGTAAATGTATGTACAAGTTTTGTCGATCGATCGCGTGTACTGCGAGATGCGTTCTGTCTCCGGGTCCGTACCACCCCGGTGCCGTCGAAGGGTGGGTGGTGGGGTTGTACCGCTCTTGTGCAGGGCTTTACTGTGCAGAAGTGACCAAAAATCGTTAATTTCCCTCTTTGGCAAGCGGAAAGAAATCAACCAAACTTATGCAAATCGAATCAAAAGATATGCTTTGTATTTCTCCAATTTCGACTTCGTAATTGAACATATAAAATGAAACGATAACGTAGTGCTATTACAGGAAGTTGTGGACCATGAAGAGCATATCGATAATAATATTTATTTTGCGAATCTTGAAGTACCTCTAGATAACATGATGGTTCGTGAAGAAACTATAAACGACCCTGTCCTAAAAAAGATAGGACGTTTCGTTCAAACACAGTGGCCTAATAGAATTGATGAGGAAATAAAGGCATATCACAATAGAAAATGATTGTTTGTATTATGGTGACCGCATTGTAATACCATCCAGCATGCAAGACATAGTATTAACAGAGCTACACGCCACGCACGAAGGGATAGTGCGGACGAAGTCAATGACTAGATCTTACTTGTGGTTCCCAGGTATAGATAAGCGAATAGAGATTATGTGCAAAGCATGTGCACCATGCTTGTCCGTAGCAGCACATCCCCCAAAAACAAACATTCCATGGCCTGAATCTAGCATTCCATTTTCAGTAGTACACATAGATTTCTTCTCATTCAAAGCATGGGATTATTTGCTAATTATTGACAGCTGTACAAAGTGGACTGAGGTTTACTCAATGAAAAACATAACCTCCAAAACTACCGTCGAAATGCTACGCGATTGTTTTTCGAGGTTCGGACTACCACGAACAGTAGTATCAGATAACGGTCCAACCTTCGTGTCTAAAGAAGTTGAAGTGCTCTTTCATAGAAACGGCATCAAGCATTTGAGAATCTCACCATATAATCCGCAAAGCAATGGTCTCGCAGAAAATGCTGTAAAAACCGTGAAAAACAAATTAAAGGCCGCACTAGCAGACGAGAAAAATAAAGACGTGCCAATGTCTACATTGTTGGCACGATTTCTAATGATTAACAGAAATACTCCACATACGACAACAGGCATTTCGCCAGCTGAAGCCATATTTGGTAGAAAGTTGCACATCAGAGTGAGCATGTTAAAAGAGAAGAAACCCTATTTGACAAACACTGACAAAACACGGGCCGAGCGCGAAGTACGGAATTACAAGCTCAATGATAAAGTAATCGTTAGAGACTACAGGTCAACAAATAAATGGATGGAAGCTACAATAGTTAAGAAGATAGCAAATGCAACGTATATGTGCAAAACTAATCTCGGAATGATTTGGAAAAGACACCCAAATCAAATTAAAGGGAGGATAGAGGCAGTCAGCAATAAAGCGGAGGAAAACGTCAGTATCAAAACAAATGCACCAATGACCAGTGTCGGTATTCCAATAAAGTACCCTAATCCTTCACCAATTCCCACCACTCCTGATATTCCTCCAGGTAGCTCAGCGTCTCCGGGTCCCTCTGCAGAATTTGAAATAGAGCCTGAAATTTCACACCATGTTCCAGATCCAAGTTTGCCAGATGCACACGTTGAGCCAGCCAGCAATCCGAGAACAAGTCATAATAGACCTATCAGAATTGTAAAGCGACCTAACAAATTTACAGACTTTGTTATAGACAAGCGTTAGTATCGAACATTCATCTGTATAGTTATACTGTCACGTCCTGTGACCATTAGGGGTGTTTTATAAAAACATTTGTCTCCTTATTCTATGATTTATTACCTACTAACTACAAAACTAAGTATATGGAGTTGGTACTTACTTAATCATTACGGTTGTCGTTGGCAGTCTTGAAGGGACCCACACTGTCACAGTCTCTAACTCTAACTGTCACTCACTGTCCTCGATTTGCCACTCTCCAAGTTCCTTCTGCTGGCCCAAGCATTTCGCAGTTTCTTTGCGAAATACTTAGCATCAGCCAACTTACTTTTTGAGGGCAAATCGGTTTCGTAACTTGTTGCTAACTGTGACAATACTTATTGATTTTATATTGTTAGTTAAGGTTCTTATTATTTTGTATTAACATGGATATTTAGAATTAATTTCGAACATAAGGGAGGAGATATGTAGTATATGTGACTAGTTTAGCATTTGTGTATAGAAGGTTGTATAACTTACTGTAACAACCCCACCACCAGTAAAAACGCACTTTGGGCATTGCACCAGCACAATCGCCCTCTTTCACTACCAACCAGAGCCCAGACTGATGTAAGTAAAGATTGTTAATTTGTAACGGCCATCATTAAATAAACCAGACATCACACAAGTCAAATCTGGAAGCTCGCACTATTCAAGCATCTATGGTGCAATCAGCTTTCGGTACTTTTCAAGAAATTGTGTCACTAACTCCAATAAAAACAAGTGCAAGTGTAGATTAATTGTTCCTAGCCATCCCATTACACTTCCTTTGCTTGCGCTTAGGTAGGAAAAATAATGTACATGACTTCAAGGGTTCACTGATTCATCTTGGGCTTGTTTACTGATGGTGTATCTAAGACAAGCAGGTTCTTCAGCATTCGTTAGTTAAAAGACAATGAACTGCCCACAATCTGCATTTGTAATTTACTGGTTTTTGCTATCAACTATCAAAAAGGATAGAATAGAAAAGAGAAATAAAAGAAAACTCCCTTACCAGTTTCAGAAATCAGTACTTATGCTCCGACTAGCCTTCAGCAGAGGCGGGGGGTTCGATGTTATACTAATATTACTTTAAAAAAAAAAATTGATCGAAAGTTGTTTCGACAGAACTTCCCTCACTCCTGAGGTACAATGAAGCAAATCCAGCATTTTCGAGTTAAATTTTATGTTTACACAATGTTGTGATGACGTCATCAACATTTTTGCAAGGAAATTAAGTCATGTAAAAACCTTAACAGGTGAATTTTTGACTAATTTAACGTTAAAAGCCATTGATTTTATACAAAATAGTAACTTAACTGTGATATGTATTATATCTGATAATAATAGAGTCAACAGAAATATGTTAAATGAAGTAGTCAAACATTTCAAGTCAGAAGATTCATTTAAAATTGATAACCCAAAATACCCTACTTTACCTTTATTTTTATCGCATGACACTGTACATATATTTAAAAATCTCAGGAATAACTGGATCAATGAAAAAGATGATGAAAAAACCCTTTTTCATGTAGATTTTGATGACCATAGATTTATTAAAAAGGCCTGCTTTAAAAATTTAGGAACTCTATAACACACATAGCCATTTGACCAACTGCGGTTAAACTTAATTATAAAAGTGTTTATCCAACCAACAGGCAAAAAGTGAAAATATATTCCATGAAACAGTCGCTGCTTTAAGAACTAGGAATTTGGATAGTGGCAATACTGCAGATTTTTAGATATCAAACTAAGGTGGTGGAAAATTGTAAATGTGAAAAGTCTTTTCAAAGATGTGGCTAAACGTGGTTCAAATCAGAGTGCGTTTAAGAACATAAACGATCATAGATTTATTTTCATGGAGAAATTTGTAACTTGGGTGAAAGCTTGGCGAAATTTAAATCTAAACCATGGACATTTTACTAAAGATACGTCCCAAGCCATTATTCAAGCTACTACAGCTCTTATCAAAATCATAAATTTTGTCATAGAGAAACTCAAAGTACAATACGTTTTACCCGGTAAGTTACAAACGGATTGTTTAGAAAAACGTTTCAGTTTATACCGTCAGTTATCAGGATGTAATTACCAAGTTAGTGTGCAACAGGTTTTAGAAAGTGAAACAAAACATTCGACTGAAAAGTGTTAAATTTACATGCTTGTAGATATAGTAGAGTTGAGATTAATTCTGAGGTTTTTAACGACTCTGATACTGTTATATCAAATAATTTTGAGATTGATGATCGTGATATTATTAAAACTTGTGTGCGAAACCGTCCTGCAGGCGTCGTTACCGTCACCGCGCTCCCCTTCCGGGTCGCCGTACCGCCTTCGAGCAATTTCCAGGTTCACGGTCGCCGCCCCCAAGTCCAGGAGGACCTGCAGGAAGTCGCCGCCCAGGAGGAACTGAAGGAAGTCGCCGCCCAAGAGGAACTGAAGGAAGTCGCCGCCCAGGAGGAACTGAAAGAAGTCGCCGCTCAGGAGGAACTGAAGGAAGTCGCCGCCCAGGAGGAACTGAAAGAAGTCGCCGCCCAGGAGAAACTGAAGGAAATCGCCGCCCAGGAGGAACGACTGTGCCGGACATTTAATTCTGTTTGTTTATTGAATTTGTCCTGTAGTTATTTAAGTTGTTTAGCCGTAAGTTTTATTATTTTAGCCGTGTAGCTGGTGGCAGGGAATAAACGCTACTTATTATTTAAAATATTTCCAGCCGTTTTATTTCATTATCGTGTTTTCGAGGGCGCTCACAACCTGAATTCCGTGTATTCGGAAAAATTGTCGATCCAAAAGGGCAGAACAACTCCAAGAATATTGGAATGAAGTTCAATGAAATCATGAAGAATTGAAGATACTGGGGCCCACCCTCAGAACTACCCACAATTATTTCGAAGTGAAATTTCTCGATCAATTAGAAGCGTTGCACGAAGATGCAAAGAAATACCTCGACTCAATTCAGACGTCACCCTACGTCGACCCGGAGCAAGAAGCCCGCATCCGATGTCAATTGTTCATACTGCAAAAAATCTCCACCGAACTGACCAAGATAAAGACTGATTTAGCTCAGAACTACAGCCGAGCCAGGTATGAACTTCTATCCTAAAAAATCCAAAGTCAGTGGAGAAGCATCATAGAACTGCATGAAGAAATCTACGTCCATGAAATTGATTTCGAAGAAAAATGTTTTGCCCACGAGATGTACGAGAAGACTGAAGAAAAGTACGAGGTTGTGGTTGAAAAACTGAAAGAAAAAATCCAGTCACCGTCCGCCCTTCAACATAAGAAAGCGAACATCCAACTACCCCAAATTAAGCTTCCAACGTTTAGCGGAAAAAATGACGATTTATTCAAGAAAGTCATCCACAACAACACATCGCTTTTCAATACTGAAAAAATGCAGTATCTGAAGACGTACATCAGAGATGAGCCCAGCAGAATCATCCAACACCCCCAGATAACGGAAAATAATTACGAAACAGCAAGGGAGCTGTTGACTAAAAGATTTAGCAACACAAGGCTTATCATAAGTAAGTTACTAGACAATTTTGGATCAGCCAACAATACAAGAAGAATCAGCAGAAAAGTTGAAAAAATTTCATGACATTAAATAATTTAGACATTCAGACCGAAACATGGGGACCAATACTCACCAGAATTATCTCTCAAAAATGGGACCCAGAAACAAACAGGCTGTACGAACAGTCATTAAACAACCCACACATATGCAAGAATTCGAGAAAATGATGGATTTTCTGCAGACAAGATTTCTATCTCTCGAAATAATTACGGCCAACAAGAAAGAAAATGCTCAGTTGAACAAAGTGGAAGCAATTTCCAACTTAAAATCATGCAAATGTTGCAAAGATTCTCATTCAATTTACAAATGCCCTGACTTTCAAGCCGAATCACCAGAAGACAGATGGAGATTCATAAACAATGAACAGTTGTGGACAAACTGCAGCAACACTCTTGTCACTACCCAGAGAACACATTCAAGCCAATATAACTGGACTTGGGGGGGATACCGAACAAATCAAACTCCAAAATTACAGTCGAATGCACTCCACGATTTTCAAGTGATTTCACACTCAGAGCAGACCTACTGGTGTCACCAAAAATTACGGAATCTCTACCGGAAGAAGACATCGAAGCAGATTTTCAGGTATGGCAGGATCACATCATCATGGATCCAGTCTTTCAAAGTAAGGGCCCAATTGACGTATTACTAGGCGCGGGAGAATACCGCAACATAATACTCAACGGTATCCAAAAAACAAATAATGATTTTATGGGCCAAAATACAGAATTTGGATGGATCTTGTTCGATAGTATAATAAAAGAAGAACACGGAAATAACAAATGCATAACGGTCAAACACATGATGTCAAGAAAAGAAAATCAGCAAGCTGCAAAAATTGGGAAAACTGCTCGACCAGTCACCAATTCAAGATCAAATCCAATGATACTCCGAAAAACGGCAAAAATCCTAAATTTAAACAATAATTTTTAAATTTCAATTTCCTCTTTACGAAACCAATCATGAGGTCAAGAAAACGACGCGACTGCTTAACGCGAAATCATCGGTATTGCAAGCACTAGCATTACGAAACGCTGACCACCGTAAGAACACCATCGTCAGCAGCACCAGAACAATAGAAAACACCAGAAACTGGGAGGCCGGTCATATTTTAATATTCAAGATTACCTTTAGTTTAGAAACACTCATACATCGTATAAGTTAGGTTGTTTTCAATAAATCAGTATTAAGCTTTACTGGTTTTTTACTAACTCCCCACAATTCTACCCTAGAATTGTTCAACCTGAAACAAATCAATTAAAATTCCAAACTACCTAATAAGATGAATTTCAACACTTGTTAGGGAAGTAAGAAATTATTTTGAGAATAGGATGAAAGAATTATAATTAAACCGAAGATATTAAAAATAATTACCTCTCGGTGGTCTGAGGTCTATCCAACTCACTGGAGACCAGGTTTAATCCGACGCAAGTTG